CTTTCAGAAAAATTATGGTCCTTTCAAGACATGCACCTTTACACCACTACAGTGAATTTTCATTGCTTGAGCAAGGATACTTGTGAAGTTCTAACTTTTCAAAGCTTTATTGAATTTGCTACTTGAACAGTTGGTAAGAGATGTGTGCCTTTGTTTAATTCATAGCTCAGAAGATGGGCACTTGAGGCCCTCATGGGTAAATTCAGCTGTAATTTGACTGGGATGAACTATTTGTGGGAAGTTCAGCAGATATCCTGTTTTTTTAGAAGAAAGCAGTGTATAAAGTGGGTAGGCAGGGTGGCAACAGGGTAAAGCATTTGAGAATCATCTTGAGTGCTTTTGCAAATTATACTGATTGCTAAAAATCCTTACAATCTTGCTCTTTTCTCATTCTCTCACTTCCCAACCCACACTAACCATAACTCCCCAAGTTAGGAATCACATCTTCCAGAATGACTATTATTGATAAAATAAAATCCTCTTCTTCAGGTTTTTTGAGGCCATTAGAGGCCCAGGGCATTGAAAATATTGTGGTCCTTACTTATACTATTTCAAAATTAAAATAGTTTGTCTATTCTAAATAAAAATGAATCTGCTCAGAATGACAGAATTACATGTATGCAAAAATTAAAACAGTATTTTTCTAGATTTTTTTCTCTATATTCTCTCCCTCTTTCTCCTATGCTTTGCCTATTGAATTATCCAGCACCGGTTGGGGCAGAAATATTTGAGGACCATTGATCTAAGGGATGTTAACTTTCTATACCTACAAAAATTCTCTAAATGCTATTACTGACCTAGGTGAGGGCATCTGAAAGTAATATACTTGGACCATATTACCTTATTTTCTGGAAAAATGCCTTTGCTGAATTATGATTTAATTTTATGCCCTCAGCTTTTATAAAAGGTCATTTTTGAAGAATAGTCATTCATCCATTTGGAGAGCCATTCTGTATCTTTTGCAAAAGCTAGTGAAAGACTTTGAACATCATGTAACCTGAAGTCTCTTATATGAGCATTCATGTGACACATTTTTCCCTTATAATTTAGTGACAGGGAAATTTTTTCTCTCTCCAGCTTGTATTCTGCTTTTGAGGGAGCATTTAAACTATATAATTCAAAGTGTTTTCCATTTTATTCATTAAAAAGTACAAAATTAATTTAATTTATTTATCATCATGACTAGTTCACCCTCCAAAAGGAAAATGTTTCCCTGGGCTTAGGATAAAATGTCATTTTGCCTCTTTGGAGCAATAGTTTTGTTTTCATCTAAAGGACACTGACTATTAGCCCATCATGTGTCCCCCTTCATGTTACCTGTAAGAAAGATTGAGGCCAATTCTGTGCTCCCATCTTCAATCAGTGCATAAGGCTTAATGGGGTGCACTTTGTTAATGATCTCTGCTAAATCCATCTTACTCCCCCATCCTCCCTTTGCTATTGCCACATTTCTCCTAGTTAGGTCTGTTTTAGTACATCAAAACACATTGTCAATATCTTTGTAAGACACTTTTATATCCCCCTTTATATTGCTTAAAGGAAAATGAGTGAATGGATAAATAATTTTGAAGTTATCTCAGATTTTTGTTACATTTATTCTCCTTAGAACTATTTCTGAAATTTCCATTCTTATATTCCCATTTTAAAATCATGATTCCTTTCTGAAAGTAAGGCTTGATAAAATGATATTTAAATATATTTTGATAAAATAATAATAGCACTAATAGTAGCGTTAAAAGTTATAAAAGAAAAAGAGAGGCAAAGATCTCTTTTTGGTAAGTAGGAGGCTGAGAGAATGATAAAAGCGTGTGGCTTAAGCTTGAGAGAATTTGTGAAAAAATATGGAGGACACCCAAAGCATGACTAATTTTTATTGATGAGATACTCCAGTTCT